TGAGTGGCTTTTGTAAAGTCCTTGCCTTGGCTTTTGGCTTGTTGTGGTGTCAGGCTGAGTAACCCTCTGGAGAGTTACCAGCTCCTGCCTGCCTGTCCACAGGGAGACACCTGGGGCTGTTGGCTGGGAATGAAAGCCAAGCCCTGGGTCACCCATCTTGTGCCTTTCAAAGGGATATAGAGCTGGAGGGCCCTGTCTGGGGCTGTGGGGTGAGCTGTGCCTGCCCTGGGAGGACCCTCAAGCCTGTTGGTCTCCCTGGAGGATGCTCTAAGGCCATGCCTGGCCATGCCTCCATCCTGGGTACCTACATGCCCTCGTCAGGAAGAATGCTTAAGGACACCTCCTGAACCCAAAGCAAACCAGGGTCTCGCTGAGCTGGGGAGCAGCAGGTCCTGGCAGACGTGGAGCTGTGCCCCCCCCGCCCTGGCAGGAGCTGCCACTTCTGGTGGGTGGGGGAGCCCAGCGTGGCGCCTGGTGCAGGGTGTCACCCTGCTGGCGTTTCCCAGCAGCACAGGGAGCTGGTAGCACCCATGTGGGACGTGGTTTACAGCCCGTCCTCACCCAGGCAGCCCGGTTGTTCCCTGCTGCTCCGGCTGCCGTCACCGAGCGCTGCTTGCGTGCTGCTGCACGGCAGTCACCTCCCCACACTGCCTGGCTTGTTCATCCTCAAACAAACTGTAAACTGAACCCCAGCTCTCCCTCTCCCCCCGCACAGAACGGAATCGTTCACAGGGACCTGAAGCTGGAGAACATCCTGCTCGATGCGAATGGAAACATCAAGGTGAGAGGCTGGCAGAGCCTGGGCATGCTGGGGTGTCACAGGGCAGAGGGGGCTGAGGGACCCTGCGAGGCATGGGTGGACTTGGGGTGGCCATAACACCCCAATGTCCCCAGGGCACCTGGTTCTCCGCAGCTCTGGGAAGCACCTGTCAGGTCCAGGACCGCTGGCATTGCTGCTGTTTGCCCAGGAGATGGGGAGCCAGGAAGGCACCAGTCCCTGCTCCCTCTTATCTGCGCCGGGCGGTGGATCAGGAGAGGCAGAGCCCTGGTGCTGCCCATTAAAGCCATAACGTATCTGTGCCTGCTGATAAGGGGGCAAAGTCTGAGTGCTGAGGTCAGAGCATGGGTGGCTGGGTAAGGAAGGGCTTTTCCAGAGAAAGTCCTGGTCCCTGAATGCTCAGGCAGGTCCCAGCTCTGCTGGCCCTGAGTGGTGCTGCAGCCACTGGGCAGGGAGGGCAGGGCTGGGGAGGAACAGGCTGTGGGCCTTTATCTCTCCAAGGGGTAATTTTGCAATTGGGAGCTCACGAGTAGGGACTGTACCTCCTGCTTGCTGAGAGGTGACGGCGTAATGAGGATAATGAGTGCCTGTGAGTGAGGTGGGGCAGACGGGGACTGAGGCAGCCTGCTGTGGTTGGGAAGGAGCTGGAGGAGAGCCCAGCAGCTCTACTTCCAACCACCTGCAGCTGCCTCTGCTCCTGGCAGGTTGGTGCTGGGGCTGGAGGGGGAGAGCCCACAGGGCAGTGGCTGTGGTGGCTGGAATGAGCTTTCTGGGAGGGGAAGAGGGGCTGGAGGAGCCTCAGGGTGGAAAGCTGGGCTGCTGCTGCTCTCTGGAGGGGCTGAAGGCACTCAGGAGCAGGGTGCCAAAGGCAGCCCTGGTTTCAGCCAAACTTTCAGCGGGAGAGTTTCAGGTGGCAGTGCTGCTCCACCTACAGAGAACTGCTGCTTGATAATGGCTATAAATGTCTCTCTAGATTGCAGACTTTGGCCTGTCCAATGTTTACCAGCAGGACAAACTTCTGCAGACTTACTGCGGCAGCCCTCTCTACGCATCCCCTGAAATCATCAATGGGAGGCCCTACAAGGGCCCAGAGGTGGGTTCTGTGGGGTCTCTTGCTACCTCTTCACTTGGACTCGGCAAAGCACTGGCTGGTTTTCCATCACAGCATCATGGACAGAGCCCTGCCTGTCTGGTTTGGGGCAACAGGTCCCCCAAGCATCACATGGTTGGTGTGTGGCAGCTGCAGTGGGATGGGCACAGTGGGATGCAGGTGGCTGGAGCTGCTGCTGAGGTGCTGGTGGGGGTATTGTGCCCAGCTGGGGTGGGGGTCAGGGCAGCCTGGTCCTGGTTCCCCCCTCCAGGCTCATCCCTCCCTCTGGCAGGTGGACAGCTGGTCCCTGGGCGTTCTCCTCTACATCCTGGTCCATGGCACCATGCCATTCGATGGCCACGACTACAAGACTCTGGTGAAGCAGATCACAAGCGGGGACTACCGGGAGCCCACGAAGCTGTCAGGTAGGCAGACCCCCCCACCAGGCTGCCTGTCCCCCCCTCCCCGTGCTCCCTTCAGTGCCTGACACCTGCCTCTCCCCCAGATGCCTGCGGGCTGATCCGCTGGATGCTGATGGTGAACCCGGAGCGCCGCGCCACCATCGAGGACATCGCCACGCACTGGTGGGTGAACTGGGGCTACAAAGTGCCCGTGGGGGAGCAAGAGCAGCTGCGGGACAACGAGTCCCCCATGGCCACGGTGGCCGAGTGGCTGCGCCGCTCCTCCCGGCCCCTCCTGGAGAACAGCTCCAAGGTGAGGTGCTTCCTGAAGCAGCACATCCCCGGCGTGGCCCTGGAGAGGCAGCGCTCCCTCAAGAAGTCCAAGAAGGAGAACGACGTCTCCCACGTGCTGCAGGAGGTGGCCCTGGCCCCAGAGAACCCCTCCAAGTCGATCCTCAAGCGGCCCAAGGGCATCCTGAAGAAGAGGAACTCCTGCGAGCAGAAGGTGCCCGGCCCTGGCCCCCCAGCAGCAGCGCCTGGGGGAGAGGGAAAAGGGGAGGACGGTGAGGTGGCTGCTGTGGGTCTCACCCGGATCCTGTCCTCTGGGATGCTGCTGTGCAGTGCAGGTGTTGGGGCAGTGCCTGTGGCCGTGCCCAAGAAGGGAATCCTGAAAAAGCCCTCGACGAGGGAATCGGGGTATTACTCATCCCTGGAGTGCTGCGAATCCGGGGGTGTCCTGGACACGGGGAGCTTGGACCTCGATGGGAGTGTGTTTGCTGACACCCCTTCCCCAGAGCAGAGCCCCCAGGGTCTCCCCACCCGCCGGAAAGGCATCCTCAAGCACAATGGCAAGTACTCCTCCAGCAGCCCCGAGGCAGAGAGCCCCCCTGGGCAGGGGTTTGGGGGTTTCAGCGAGCTGCCCCTGCCGCAGGCGCCCCGCGCCCGCCCGTCCAGCGCCGTCAGCGAGGACAGCATCCTCTCCACCGAGTCCTTTGACCAGCTCGACCTGCCCACCCGTGTCCCCCACGGCGCTGGGGGCATGAGGGGCTGCGTCTCTGCCGACAGCCTCCTCCGGCTGGAAGAGGAGGAGGAGCAGGTGGAGGAAGGGCGCAGGCTGCGCCGCTGGACTGTCACCCACTGCCGGAGCCCCCTGCGCGAGAGCAGCTTGTCCCTGCTGGGCTGTGACAATGTCACTGAGGTCTACAGGCGTGCCCTGACCATCGGCATGAAGCTGAGCTGAGGGCACCTCCCCGCGGGGCTCCCTGGGGGGTGTGTGTGTGTTGGGGAGGGGGGCTGAGCCCTCCCCGCCCTGGTGCTGCTGAGCCACCTCCCACCTATTTATTTTGCAGCCCCGCATCCCTTGGGGAAGAACGTGGGGGCTGTGGTGGCTGTGGGATGCTGGGACACCCTGGGGCCAGGACATGAAATGGACCAAAGCCCTGAGTGATCCCTTCACCAACCCCACAGAGGGGCTTGGAGGGTTCTGGAGGTTCCTCTCTGCCGTCCTCCCCTTGCAAACAGGCTCATCTCAAGGGGGAAGCCCAAGGGGATGGGGGAATGGTTTTGGTTGTGTTTGTTTTTTTTCTTTGCACTGGTTTGTTGGTTGGTTTAGGTTTTTTTTGGGCTGCACAAGGTAACGGATGGGGCAGGTGATATACCTCAAATAAGCTGGAGATGTAGCAGGGTGCTGGTGAGGGGCTTGAAAGGTGCTGCCCTGGCTGATGGGCTCTTGGGATATGATGGCAACAGGGTCCAAATTGCCCAGGCCCCAGCTCTTCCCACTCCTGTTCTGGGAAACCCAACTGGATTTGGCTGAGACCCCAGGCTGAGAACACACTCTGATGCCAATGTGTTTTTTGTTTTGTTATTGTTTGTTTTTTTTTAAATGTTGAAAGGAGGAAAAAAAAAAGTGCCCTTGATGAGGCACCACTTGTTTATTTATTGCCTTTGTCTGACTTGTTATAAAACTTCAGCAGCAGGGGAAGTGTGGGGCTCCATAACGGGCTCCTGGATGTTTTCCATGAGGGGTGGAGGTGCCTGTGCCCTTGTCTCATGTGCCACAGGTTGAAGCTCCATTGCACTATTGCCATATGTTCTCTGGCCCTTTCCCTTCTCCAGGGTATCTGTGTTTTCCCCTCCTTCCTACAAGTGATCTTGTGAAAACCATTAAATTAAAAGCAAATGGTAGATCTGAGTTTTTCTTTTGATTGCTGTCTGCTGCAGGTTTTTTTGGGGGGCTGGGAGCTGCCGTGGGGTGCTGCTGCCTGTCCCAGGCTGGTGGATCCTGGGTATTGTGCTGCTCCTGGTGGGATGGGGCTGTGCATGGTGCTGGGTCTTGCTCTATCCAGTACAGCTGAATGTGAGCTGGCTCTGGGCACGTCCTGTGGGGTGTAACACCTCTGTGCAGCATGTGCTTGGTCCTTCCAGGGCTCCAGCACATGCCCCTTCTCCAGGGCTCAGGCTGCTCCGTGGGCTTAAACCATCTCCCCCAACAACCTGTACCCTCCTGGTGCAGCGTTGAAACCAGTTTTATTGCTCTATAAAAGCACCGTAACGATTTCCCGTTTCTAGCTGGGTTAAACAGGAGGTGATTCAGGTCTCTGCCCTGCTGTGGAGAGGCTGAGCCTGGAATGCCACCCCTCACCTGGAATGCTGCTCCTGGTCCCGTGAGCTGGAGCCGTGGGGGGCCACGCAGGCTCTGCCCCCCGCTGTGCATTCCCCGCGTGCTTCCAGCCCCATTAAGAACTGCTGGAGCACATAAAGCTGCTCCCAGGGCACCCAGCTCAGCCAGGGCAAAGTCCTGGTGCCCTCTGGGCTGCTCAGGTGGGATGAGGTGAGCCAGGGGGCTGCAGCACCCGTGGGTGCCAGGCAGAGCATCCCAGGTGGAGGTCAGGATGGGCTGAAGTTTGTAACAACCCCAAGGCACAGAGTTTCCTCTTTGGAAAGGGTGGCTGCCCTGGGCCTGGCTCGTTCATGATGTACAAGAGAAGGCTCTTGTGTGCTGGTTTCAGAGCCGGGCTGAGCTGTGGCAGCTCCGGGTGGGCACCCACGGGTGCAAGACATGCAGTGACCCCGCTGGTGGCAG